TGTGGGCGCGGGAGTTGAGCGAGGCTGTGTCCTGTGGCTGCTGGTTTGGAGGTTTCTTGGCCTCCTGCATATGCCACAGCCACCCCGCACGTGGACACCCCTGCCCGTGCACTGCGGAGCGTCCAAGTGCTGGTGGCTTCAGTGACGAAACCTCACTGGCTGGTCTGCTGCTCTGGAACTCTGGTGGTGGTTAGGCAGTGGCAGTGGCGAGCTGGGGACGGCCTGCCCTGCTGTGCCTGTTGGTGGCGTGAGGGACGGCCCTGGGACCCGGCTGGGCACCGGTGGCAGGAGGCCCTCCGCGGCCCCGCCCCGGAAGCTCCCCCACCATGCCACACTCCTTCCAGCCACCCCTTCTGCGTGAAGCTGCTCGCGCTCTGCAAGGAAGAGCTGGCCAAGTCCAAAGACGTGCAGAAGCTCCGGTCCGGAGTCGCAGTGTGAGTGTTCCCTGTGCCCGTCTGGGGCGCTCTGTTCCTCCTCGCTCCGAGTAGGCCAGCCGCGCCCTGCCCACCGTTGCCTCCCGCCCTGGTCAGGAGGCTCCCCACGGCTCCCCGGGAGAGTGAAGGAGCTGCTGCCCTGAGGAGGCCGGTTTCCCTAGAAACAGGCCTGGGTGTCCAGTGCGCTCTGGAAGCGTCTCGATCTGCAGCTGGCGTGGGTGCTGGGCCCAGGTTCCCTGGGCTCCTCGTGGGTCCCTGAGGCACCTCACTTCCCGACTCAGCACCCACATGTGAGCGGGCACGGCCACGCTCACGAATCTGCTTTTCCCAGTGTCCCACGCATGCGCGGCCTGGTAGGCGTGGGAGTGTGCGGCCCCGCGGCCCCGGCCGACCTGCTGCGTGTCCCTGCACCCACAGGTTCTGTGGGATGGTGCAGTTCTGCGGCGACGTGAGAAGGAAGGTCCTCCTGCAGCTGCTGCTGCTCCTCTGCCACCCGTTCCCCCTGGTGAGTCTCCAGGCCTCCAGCGCAGTCGCCTCTGAGCTCCAGCCCGCCAACGGGAGCTTCCGAGCGGCCGTGTTGTCCCGGTCCCGGGTGGGTGTGCTGCCGCTGCAGCCCCCGTCCCCTGGCTCCCTTGCCAGAACAGCCGTGGGGCAGCGTGTTGGGCGATGTGTCTTTGGAGTTCCGTGTCGGTGTGGACGGAAGCCTGGGTGTCTGGGAGGGCTCTGAGGGGGGATGTGCCATCACCCAGAACCCCATCCCACCCCAGGGTTAGACTCCCCTGAGAACCCTTCGTGCGATCTTAGTGGTGCGGTTACCTTCCACACGGTGCGGCGGGGCCTGGCCTCAGCCTTTCTGGGCCTACTGGCACACGGATTCTCGCCGGACCAGCCGCCTGGGGAGTGCCGGGGCAGGGCTGGGGGGCGGGGGGCCCAC